TGAAATGAAAATGATAATAGTTTGATAACATCATATATAATAATTCTGCCTAAAGAACAAGCAGTGAGTAAAAGACGAAATAACTTTGGAAGAAGGTGACGTCTGCTCGGCATCTGACCACCTACCTCCACCAACCGGCGACGAAATAGATCTGGCCGTTGTTGTCCTGGCAGCAGAAGTAGCGACCGGTGCCCTCCTCGACGCAGCACCTCTCGTTGCACGGCAATCCGTTCGGACAGGTCTCGGTCGTCGAGGCTCCGGGAATCAGGGCAAAAATAAGAATGAGGGTCGTCGTGATCGCCAGATGAAGCAGGAGGCGCAGCGGCAAAGACATCGCGAGTTGTGCGGCGGCGACGAATTCAGTTTTGTTGCCGTTTTCATCTAGGCCTTGGGCAGTGGGTCGCCAAATGCGTCGTTGTTCGTCGCCTGGCGCTGTTTCGTTTCGCCACATCGGCAAATGGGTGGTGGTATCCTTTGATACGTCTTCTGATGACTGTCTCGTCGTCTCACTCATTCCTCTGGCGTGACACACCCTCCCGCAGACGGACAGACGGACGGACGGACGGACGGACGGACGGATGCGCACGGTGCGAGTTGATGATGACGCGGTAACTAGTTCGTCAGAGACAAGAACTTGCTCTGCTGGCTTCAGTGCTGATGCGGCCGCCCGCCCGTCAACAGCCTGCCCGCAGACCTGTTCATCAGCATTAACTGGGCGCGCTGTGTCGATCGGCGTCGTCGACTACTTTCTCCGGTTGTTGTCACTCTTTGCCGAGTCTCCGAACTCCTTCTCGGTCGCGACCTACCGCCAGAGAGTAGAAACTCACTGAGGAACTATTCGAGGAAGTTGCACAAAATGTCATCCGTCATGAATTGCGGCGATTTCGAACATATGGAAAAGAGTGAAAACAGCACCAGCTTCGCTATTCTTACCACTTGGCTGTCTTCTCTGAGACTCTCAGCTGTTCACCACCTGGAGGCAGCGCCTGTACGATGTATACACCGAACGTTGGTTAAACTTACACCCCTTGCAGTTGCTGGATTCACCAATGGTAGAGAAGTCAGCGTCCACTCTGAACTCCGCAGGGGCTGCGTTCTTATCCTAAAACGCACTTAACCGCAATTCCTTTCAACGAGGAACTCTGTGAATATTTCTTGATGCACCCAATCGACAAACGCGTAGAAAGTTGTGAACAAGCGAATAACGGAGACAGCACGGTATTCTTGTGTGGTTAATCCAGAGCGGGTGACAGATGTAGCCATTCTGTCTTATACGAAAGCGTCATACGGGCTTCAATTCACCATCATCTACCTCATTGCTGATTATCGAGTACTGACAGTCAGCGCGATGTTATTATGCTTGCTTCATATCCACGAAGTCTATCTGTCCTTTTTGATTAATTGCACCACCTGCTCCTAACCCAGAACAGTGACGTAGGGAGTGCTGAACTTGCTTCTGATCAAACAGCAAACAGACCACAAATTCACGTTCATTCCGTCCCCTGTGTCTCAAAACGAACTGTGACGATTCGATTGGCATTGGCACACATAAGAATCCGGTACTTTGAATCTTTTGCAGCCACTGCTTTGCACAAGTACCAAGTATCATAGCCTTCAACAGAACCAAACGAAAATGTTTTTACAACCGTTAGTAACTGAATCTGTACGGTGGCAACCATTTCGAACAAACTGAGTAGCCAATCGTTTGACGCGGCAAAAGAAGTCCCTTGGACTAATGCATAATAGACGATATCAGTGAATGGAAGAAAATAGTTGCATTTATTCCGTATGAATAATCTATTCTTCATGAATTCGGCATTATAATATTGTCAAAATTAATGTATTTGAGCTATCAAAGCCGATTTATCGGTTTGTTGCAGTTTGCAACGCCACTACATCTACGTCATCTCTCAGCATTGTAAAGCAGCCAGCGAGTAAAGTGTAACTTCCGGCCTTTAAAGTGGGCGACTGCCGACCAGCTCTCAATATTAAACTAGTACCCAGCAAATTCTTTACACTCCGGGACACTGAAAGTCTCTCGTTCCTCATTTCATGATTGCTGGCCATTCGTGCGGTTGCTCCTGCTTTCGCTGGCAAATCGGATCGATCATGCTTTCCTTCGTAAAGGACGTCAACAACGACTTTAAGTATTACGTCTACAAGTAGGGGTTTCGTGGATCTGGCTTTGAAATGACATGATTGCTTTAGTGATGCGCATTTCGTCAGCCGACAAGTAGGTAAGATCGCCTCGTCAGCTAAAACGTCCAGGGAAAACATCGCCTATGCAGGCCTGGGCATTTTAGCGGTTTACCTGATTTTTGGCTACTTCGCTGAACTCATTTGCAACTTCATCGGATTTGCGTATCCGGCTGTTTTATCCAGTATGATGCACGGTTGTCATATTGTACACATGGCCAACGGTATTCGGTTTTTCAGTCCAAGCCATTGAATCAGCAGACAAGAAGGACGATACGAAATGGCTCACCTACTGGACCGTGTTTGCTATATGCTCACTGATAGACTTCGGATCGCAAGCCATCATGCGGTGGTTTCCATTCTACTGGCTATGCAAATGCGTTTTCTTTCTGTGGCTCTACCTGCCAAGGACAGACGGCGCTCAGGTGTGCTACAAGAGGTTGGTCTTGCCTTTCAGCAGGAAGTATCTGAAACATTCTGAAGCAGTTGAAGAAGAGGTAATTTGTCAAAGTCTAAATTTCAAGGAAAATATTAGTTCTCAGCTTTTGCAGTTTCAGGCAGGAGACAAACTGAAATATCTTTGAAATGAGGAATTTGCGGAACAAGAGGAAGTCGTTCACAAGTTTCGAAAAATCTTCATCTGATCATCAGATCACAAAGCGAATTGTACTTGTCGTATTCACTCATTAGCATTAAAACCGCGAAACTTAACTGTCTTTGGTTCTTCGCTGCGCCCTTGTTGCTCCCAAACCCGGATGAAAAACGAGGATCTTTGGGAACAATGGTGAGGTTTCTAGTAAACCTTGGCCTCCGGCTTTTGCCGTTATGGCAATACCGGCCATATCGGCTCGGACATCACTCAGATCACCAAAACCATGCAAGTTGTTGCCGAACTGAGACCAACAGCGAAAAGTGGGCGATCAGAACTAAATTTTTTTTCTTTTGTCCGCTGGGAACCTAGCAGCATTGAGACTGCTGCCAAGACTGACAAAAAGGCAGTGACGATAGCAGTTAGCACGGAGACGCTACTTTTATGAACGAATGAGGCATAACCACTGTCCTTAGAGCACGTTGGGTAAAATTCCACGAGGAGGATTTCGACATTTTGAACTCCACGTTGGAAATTGGAATATCTCCTCACTTTGAGGGAAAGCGCAGGAGCAAAGTAAAGACCAGATGTATTTGCATTCTCTTCAACGAAGGGCCAGAGCTCCAGAAATCTCAACCTCTGAATGTTTAAAATATTCTACACAGGTGACGAAATCATCACACACGCTAGTTTAAGACACCGCAGGTGCTTACAGTCTGAAATTGGAACATATCCTTACTCAGGGGGAAAACAAGAGGTAGCTGATAAGGCTGTAAGCTGCCAACTCCACATAGTGGACTCTCGTCAACAAGGCGCCAAGTCTCTGGAATCCTGAAAGTCTGCGGGTGGAACGTATTTTACTCAGGTGTCCGTATTACGTGCGCTCAGGCCGGTGTTGTTGTTCCCATAGAATCCAACCTTGCCGATAGAATTAGCGATTGGGAGCCTTTCAGCGAAAGGGGGATAATCCTCTGACTGAAGCTACAACAGGCTAAAACGTTGACCTTGGTACAGGTTTATGCGCCCAGTTTGGAGGGAGAATAGGAGACCTTCCTTGAGGAAGTGCAGTGTGCTCTGTCCAAAGTGCCGAATACAGAGTCCCTCATACTGATGG